AGAAACCCAGATGGACAAGCTGCTCATGGTATCCATCGATTGGAGATCATCATCACCAAAATCAATAATTAAAATTAATAACACCATCCCTTATAAATCAAAGACCACATTTATTGCTAATTCTCCCTGCTGGCTCTCTATGGCATAACGGATGGAGCAGGAGGGACTTAAGATCATTAAGATACAATCTGGTATCTTAAGGAGCTCCACTGAACAATAGAGCTATCAATGAAGCTAAGTGTCAGGCACAGGGATAGACACTTTACATAACACCTTTAAGGATTACAACATCCCTACTTTGGAGGAGTTATTATCTCCACTTTACAGGTGAAACGACTGAGGCTCAGAGAGGCTAAGTGCCTTCTTGTTGCTGTGCATCTTGTTTAATGCATGGTGACATTCCTGTCTTAGTCCATCTGGCTCTCAGTTTCCTGCGGTTTCCATTTCACCATGCTCCTTCCTAAAGTGCTTCTTATTTGCTGAAGAAAATAACCAGATGCAGGAAAGGCTAAAAGAGATATATGCAAATTGAGATCATGAAAAGTAACTTACTGCATGAAAATCCTAGGAAGCTTTATAGGGGAGATGACATCTGATTTGGCTCTTAAAAGAAGACCGGTTGTGCCAGACTGAAGGGAGGCAGTCAAGATAGACATAGCAATAGCAAGCAGAAAGTTCCAGAGGCATGAAATGGCATGACAGGCATGAGGGAAGTGGCAAGAGATGAGACTGACACTGCAGGTCAGAGTCTAACACACTGTGTGAAGGGCATTACTCTGTGAGTGAGCGAGAGGCATCAAATGTTAATAGCAAGGCCACAGTATGGTCACATGGCAGCTGGCAAAAGATGAAAGTAGAGGAGAGATACTGGAACAAGATAAGGAGAAACTGATAAAAGAGAGCAGATTCAAAAGGTGAGCGTGGGTGGTATAGACAATAACGGTGAGTGAATAAAAAGTGAAGAAGAGAGTAGAGAAAATAAGAATGGATATTTATGGAGTCCTTCTTGATTACTAGGTACTGTGCTCAGCCTTAGCCCAGCTGACTCACTGACACCACCGAGGAAGTCTATAAGTGTAGTATTTTTTTTTTTTTTTTGCCATCCTGCCACCTGTTGGCATCTCAGCTCGGGCTGGGAATCAAACTGCTGTTGCTTAGAGCTCGCACTCTTGAGTGAGCTCTTAACCAACCGAGCCACTCGGCCGGCCCGAGAGCAGTATTTTTAATATCCCCATTCCACAGATGAAAAAAGCGATGCATGGAAGATTCAGTAGCAGACCTCAATTGTAGGAAATTTGAATGCCAGGCAGTTTGACCTCACAGCCTTTGTTTTTTCACTATTGCATCACACAGCACCCTGGATACATCCAAGGTTTTCATTAACTAAGATAGGGACTAGGGAAAGATGAAAAGGTATATATAGAGAGAGCCATTGAGATCAATTTTGCACATTTTGAGCCTGAATTTTTTAGCGGATATCCAGGTGGAAGTATCTGGTGAAAAAGCTGGAAAGAGAGAGAAAAGGAAACGAAAGACAAAGCAGGTGTTACTCCATAGACTGTGGTTGATACCAGAGGACCACGTCAGCTTGCTCAGTGAAGCGACGTGAACAAAAACACCCCAGTGACAGCGATGAAAGTGTCGTGACTACTCTTCCCCTTGGATGTAAGTAAATCCACACAAACATAGAAACTTCAAACAACACAAATCCCATGAACTCAAGTAGTATTTATTTCCAATTATGCCTTTGTGACATTTTGTTCTTGTGTGAGAAAGCTTTATCAGCCTGGCTTTTCAAAAGCCTTGTCTTGCTGACATGTGGGCTCCCAAACGCCCCACAGGGACCTGAGCTTCTCTAGCGGCTTGTCATTACTGATGTTCACAAGTTGGCTCAAAATGGGCCTTTAAGCATTCGTGTTTTAAGATTATTGTGAATGGATATGTTTCAACAGGGAGGAATAATAATGCAAAAATTAGAAGCAAAATTGTTTGTCTTCTAAACATGTCTCCTCCTCCTTCTGGACCCCTTTCGCTCCATCACCCCTCTCTCGCTGCAGAATACCTTTGCTTGCTGGCGTTGAGAGAGAATCCCAGGTGACAACAGAACGGTCAGCCTGGGTGAGAGAAAAATGTCACTATGTGATACACACACACTAGCCGTTTAACCAAGAGGGACACAGGCCTACTGTTTGTTTCACTGCTGGGAGGGCAGGTGCTCACGTGGGTGCGGTTTAGTAAACGTTGTTTCACAGCTTCCAAATGGCAGGAAGAATTTCTCCATAACCACCCAGCAGTTGCAGAGATTCAGTCCCGAAAGACAGAGTAACAAGGCATGACTGCTGAAATGCTTTTCTTTCCCATTTTTTCCCCCTCTAAGGTGCATTCTGCATAGCAGACATACATCTGTGGAACTGGCAAGGCAGACAAGGGGGCTTGAGAAGGGAATTTTCTTACACAGTCTGTGCGAAATCATCTCACAAAGAAAACTGAGCAATGTCAAGGGAAGAATTTAAAGAGCTGTTCAAAGTTTCCGGGTAATTCTATATTTCATAAAATTATTTACATTTCTCTTTTTTGGTCATGGTAAGTTCTATTGGCACAAACAGCACAGCCACAGAGTATTCTTTTGATTTTAATAACTCATTTTATATATATTTATATATTTTTTATATATCTGCTTATCTTAATTTCCTCAGCAAAAAGGGAAATAAAAATATTGATCTATAAAATAAGCTGATGATAACACAATGCCAAAAATAGCTTATGTTAAGTGCAAGGGGTGATGCTTGAAAGCAAGCTAAATTGCAACAACATATTGATTCAACGTTTTAAATACAAGACTTGCAATAAAATAATTCTTGAGATATGCTTCTCGTTTTTAGTTTACTTTTTAAAAACTACTCTCTATACACATATCCAGTTGTAACACTTGACAGTAGCATATGGGGCATGATATAACTTTGGTACACATTGCAGATAAGGATGGGTCATGTCTGAAAATGATATTCCTTCACCAGTTAGAGCATTATACAGCCAGGTGACCAGCCACCTGATCCCATGTAATGTTCCCCCCGGAACCCCCCAGTCCAGCAGGAGAAAGCAGGCTCACTGGATCCATATCGTGTTTCCTCTGTCGGTTCTCCTGGGCTCCACTGTCAGCTCCCCAAATGTGGAAAAAAACTGCTCCATTTCTTTCTGAAGCATGTCATTTCTTTTCTCAGCATCTTCTTTTGCTCGCTCGGCATTGCGCATTTTGATTTCTATCATTGTGAACTTTTTCCTTTCTTGATCCAGTTCATCATGGAGGCTCATCATTTCTGTTTCCAAAGTCAAGTTTCGCTGTTCTAAACTACAAAGGGTGAGGGGAGGAATAAAAGATAAAGTGATTTTATTCACTTGCAATATGAGAGGAATACAAATATTCTTTAAACTATGTCTCTGAAATACTTAGGAAATTGGAATGAACCCTTTCAAATCAGCAAAGCAAGGTCCAATGATTTAAAAAGTTTTTTTTTGTTGTTGTTGTTTTTTTCTATTTGCTAACATGATTTATTATCATTTTAACAAGAAGAGACCCTGAGACCTTTCTTGGAAGCACTTAGTTGTCATTGGATCATGAAGGTATAACTATAAGCACAGAGAAACCAGAAACCAATGTCATGTAGCACAGAATGACAGAGCGGAGAGCAGTCCAAACCATGATTCCTGGATCATTAACTGTAAACTAGGCTTTTGTAAAAGAAAGGGGGAAAGCCTAATAATAAAGGTGGAAGAAAAAGGTGCAATCATATTTGCTTTCTATCAGAGGCAAAATAATGACAGTGAAAATGTCATTGTTAGATAGATTAAGTCCACTGATGAGAATGGACTTCTCTGGAATATATTGAGTCCCGTCTTATAAAAATGGTACCAAAAGTAGCTGCCTTACACTGACAAGGGAGGTAGAGATTAGATGTGTTGAATAAGCAATTCACCTGACATTTTATGACAGTGGAGTCCACCCAAGTAACCTGCTATCTGTCTCACTGCCTTCCAAGTTAATACATTTTAGGATCTCTAGATGTATATTTCTATAGATTGATAGCCATATTCTTTTGGATAATTGTATAATTTGACGTAAGTTCCTTGAAACATTTCTTCATAATCACTAAGTTCCAAAACATAATTTATTGTTTTTGTTGTTCACAGAGGAGTATTAAGCACTTGTTTATTTTAAGATGAATCTCGGTAATAGTTGACTTTTTAATTTCTCCTCTTTTGAGCTAAAGTCCCTAGGGTATGTTTAAATTTACCATATCATGGAAACCTGGAAGGCTAGTGCACATGTGCCTCTCAGAAATCTTATTATTTTAATAACAATTGTCAAACTACAATCTTAATTATTTTTCTGTTTTGAAATAAGTTAAGTTCCATATCTTGACATTTCATCCAAATAATAAATAACACTTAAAAATGAATCTGCTCCCCCATATTTTTACAATAGCAAATGATTATTTTAATTAGAAAATGATATATAAATGAAATAAATCCAAACATGAATTGGTAAATATGAATTTTCCAAATTTGAGCTATTAAGGAGGTCATTGGTATCAAGAAACACATTTTAAAAATTAAAAACAGAGTTTTCATGAATAAGACAATTTCTAAAAGTGCACGCATTTCAAAAATATCTGAGTGCCTATAATGTACCAAACACACTATTAGTTCTATATTATAAACTGAATAAAAGCATCCCTGCCCTTAAGAGTGCAGTTGAGAAGACAGATAATTAAGTATAATATAAACTGGGAAGAGGTACATCTAATTTGGCTAGTGAATAGGAAGTGAGGGAGGCAACAGGTTATTTACAAGAAAACAATTCCTGAAAAAAAGCATGGGACAGCATAAACAAAAGCATAGTGCTGATTATGCTAAGCAAAATAAGTCAGACAGAAAAAGTAAAAAATCACATGATTTCACTGATATGTGGGATATACAACTGAAAGCAACAAACAAACAAGGCAAACAAACAAAAACTCAAAGACACAGGCAATAGTTTAGTGGTTTCCAGAGGGTAAGGGGGGAGGGGGGTGGTAGAAGAGGGTAAAGGGGATCAAATATATGGCGATGGAAGGAGAACTGACTCTGGATGGTGAACACACAATGCAATCTATAGATGATGTGTTATAGAAATGTACATTTGAAACCTATATAATTTTACTAACCAATATCACTCCAATAAATTTAAAAAAAAAGCATAGTGTGAGAAAAAGAATAGCATATGGGCAACTATAAGCAATCTGGTGTGGATGGGGCTTCAAGTAAATGACTGGGAAAGGGCCAAAAGTAAAGCTGAAGAGGCAGGCATGGGGTAGATCATTAAGAGCCTTAAAAACTAGGACATTATCTTGTGGAAGGGTAAGACTATTAGTGAAAGGTTTTAGGAAGGGAGATGTCAGTCAGGAGTTGGGAATGGATGTGACGAGAACAAAGCTGCAGTGAAATGTTTTAGGAGTCCATTTCAGTGGATCAAGCAAGTATAATGAGGCTCTGAAGAGGGTATTAGTCATGACAGAAAAGGGGAAACAGATTCAAGAAATATTTTAAAAGTGAAATAGTTGGGATTTGTTGACTCAAGCATTTAGAAGGAAGAGCAGCTTTTTAAAGGAAGTCACTGCCTTAGGTTTTAGACATTCAGAGTTGGGGTGCCTGTGAAATATCACCTGGAAATGTCCATTAGATAGTTTTCATATAAAAACTGAAACTAAAGAAAAAGGTCTGGGCTGCATATCTGAATTTAGCAGTCATTAATCTGCTCCACTTTTGAAAGTAACTAGGATTCAAGAAGGCTGTTTTGATCACATTTTTATATAACAACCTGGCAGAGTTCTGGTTGCAACCAAGAATTATTCTACAATATATTCTCCTTGCTTTTTAAAACTATTTATGTTAGAACTAAAAATGCTGAAACTCAAGCTTAACTACCAAGGAAGACAATCCTTTACATATATACTGATGCATTTGTATTGTATGTATCAGGTACTCGTATGAAACTTCCACAGATCTAATGGGCTGAGTTGAATACAGAAGGAACCCCTCCCCATGCAAACACAGAATGATGCTGGAGAACTATATGATAAAAATATATTTTAAATACATACCCAAGGTTAAAAGAAATAAAAGAGCATCTTCAGGTATCATAACCAAGAAAGAAACTAAAATTTAGAACAGTAAATGGAAGCACATGAGGGGTTCTGGATAAAGGCCCTAGAGGCTGGAGCTAGGTTTTTATTTTTCACATGGGAGATAAGAGGTCTCCAGCATAAGAAAGGCAAAAAGTTGAAAGTGATTCAACTGAGAACCTGTAACATCAATTATCTTTATAAAAAAGTGACTACAAAAACTCTACTCATGGGCTGAGTGAAGTGTCAGAATTGAGTCTGCAGAAGAAAAAAAATCAATCTTAGCAATATATTTTGGAATATATCTCTTTGGGCAAAGGCAACGAAAATCAAAATAAACAAATGGGAATACAGCAAAGTTAAAAGGTTTTGCAGAGTGAAGAAAACCATCAACAAGAATAAAAGGCAACATTCTGAATGGGAGAAGATATTTGCAAATGATAAATCTGATATGAGGTTATTATCCAAAATATATAAAGAACTCATACAACTCAACACTAGAAAAATAAACAATCCAATTAAAAAATGGGCAGAAGATCTGAATAGACATTTCTCCAAAAAAGATGTATAGATGGTCAATAGACACATGAAAAGATGCTCAACATCACTAATCATCAGAGAAATGCAAATCAAAAGCACAATGATATATCATCTAACACCTATAGAATGGCTATGATCAAAATGGCAGCAAATAAAAAGTATTGACAAGGATGTGGAAGAAAAGGAACCCTTGTGCACTGTTGGTAGAATTATAAACTAGGTGCAGTTACTATAGGAAACAGTATGGAGATCCCTCAAAAAATTAAAAATAAAACTACGACACAGTAATTTCACTTTTGGGTATTTATCAGAAGAAAACAAAAACAGTAATTTGAAAATGTACATGCACTCTTATGTTCATTGCAGCATTGTTTACAATAGCCATGATATGGAAACAATGTAGGTGTCTACTGATAGATGAATGGGTAAAGAAGGTATGGTATATGTATACAATGGATTATTATTCTGACATAAAAAGGAATGAAATCTTGCCATTTGCAACAATATAGATGGACCTAGAGAGTATCATGTTAGTTAAAATAAGTCAGGTACAGAAAGACAAATACTGTATGATTTTACTTATATGTAGAATCTAAAAAACAAAACAAAACAGAAACAAACTCATAGACACAGAGAACAAACTGATGGTTGACAGAAGGGAGGTAAGTCAGGGGATAGGTGAAGAAGAGGAAGGAGATTAAAAAGTACAAAATTACAGTTATAAAATAAGTCACAGGGATGTAATGTAAAGCACAAAGAATATAGTCAATAATATAATTGGATTTACGTACGGTGACAAATCATTACTGGATTTACTGTGGTGATCACTTCGTAAGGTATATAAATGTTGGATCACTATTGTATACCTGAAACTAATGTAATATTGTATATCAACTATAATTAAAAATAAACTTTAAAGAAGAAGAAATTAACAAACTGTAAAATAGGTCTGAGAAAATTTACTCAGAATAACTCACAAAATGAGAAAGATAGAAATCTGATATAAGAAAGAGAAGTTAACAGAGATGGAGAATGGATTAAGGTCCAATATACTTTAGTAAGGGTTGCGGAAAGAGAAAATTGAGAAAATGGGGGAGATGAAAGAAACAGAAAAGTGATGTCTAAAAATATTCCAGAATTGAAAAATATTATGTTCTCAGTTATAATAAACATAAAATTTGAAAGTTAATGGAAAAGATAAAGAATGCTACTAATCAAAATAAAATGGTATAGTAATATCAATATCAGAAAATATAAAGTTTTAGGCAAAAAGCATTATTACAATTAAAGGTGACCATTATTTAATGATAAAATAAACACTTCATCAAGGAGATATAAATAATTCTGAACTTTTATTCCCCTAGCAGTATAGCCTCAAATTATTCAATATAAAATATAACAGAATTAAAAGAAAAAAGTTGATAAATCCACAACAATTAGGAGATTTTTAAGATACTTTTGTCAGAAATTATAGCTCTATCTGATAAAAACTAGGAGAAATGTAAAAAGTTTGAACAGCTTGATTAACAGATTATTGGTCATACATAGAATCCCAAATCAATAATAGAAGAATAGCTTTTACCACCCCAAATAGTTGATATCATAAAAATAAATTTGTCTAACCACAATACAGTAAAGGTAGAAATTAACTGGAGTGGGGAGGGGAAAGAACACTAAATTCACATGTTTAAAAATGAAAAAAAAAGTATATTAATGATTGATAAACAAAGTAAAATATTATCTATTTACCTATCATCTATTGTGCTACCTAGGTACGTGTGTGTGTATGTATGTATGTATGATCTACCTGTCTAAGTTCCATACTGTGGGTGAAGTTAAAAGGAATTGAAAGAGAAATGTATAACGCTGAACAGGAATTATAAAACAATAACTAGAACAGTTCCTTTTTATATTTCTGTGGCTTGGGCATGTGGCAGCTCGTCAGCCCCACTTTATTGTGGACCTCTGCCTCTGCCTGTTGTGGGTGAGAACGCTATGGTGAGAGGGCCCAGGGAAATGCCTCTCTATTGGGACGTTGTATTATTTTATCGAAGTCTCTGAAATGCACCATCGATTCAGAACATAAACATATCACCAGTGTTCCCATCAGTGAACGTGTCCACCTGCAGCCATTCAGAATAACTGATTTCCTATCCTAATGCAAGTTTCAGGTGTTACTGCCTCTTGCTTCCCAGGGCTAAGTGCTAATTTATCATCATCCTTGGCAGCAATTCAGAGTCCTGGTAGCCAGAAGTTCTAAAAACTACATTCAGAAAGAAGAGTAACCTGATAAGATGATGACACCCTTTTTCTTTTTATTTAAACCTCGTCACTCAGCACTATATAGAAAAATTCAAACCAAGGTTCCATTCAGTGAAGTTTACAAAACTGACTTTCTAAGAAAGTAATGTTTTAATCTAACATATAAATAGCATTTTATTTTATACTTATTTTACAATAGCTCTTGAAAATATGTACCTCCTGGCCTGATAATTGTTAAATGGATGGGTGCAAAACAGTACAATAAATTAAAGTCAACTCTATATATATTTAAAAAAAAATCATGGGGGGTTTGGAGCCATGGAAGCAGTTGAGGCAGGACAAAAACTTATGTTCACAAACAATGAGGCTCCAGAGACACCGTGCAGGAAGAGGTCCACCAGGACACACGGCCTGAGCCTGGGAACCAGACCCCGAAGTGGGCTCCCCCTGCTGACTGGGCCCCAGGCCTTCTCCTGACTCAGAGGTTCAGTGTGCTTTCCCTTTCATTATGCTGAAAGGAGGCCATGAAAACAACCAGTTTTTTCTGTCCTGTGACCTCGGTAAAACACGGGTGTGGTGACTTTCAGGTTTCTAGCACAAGGTGATATTTGTGAGTCCTACGCGCCATTCTCTGCATCCCTGCCTCTCCAGCCCATGAACACCTGACAGTCGGGGCCCTGTGAACGCAGGACACAGCCAGTGCCCCTTACCTTGCCCGGGTTGCTTCCCTGGAGAAGTTGCTAAGCAAACTTCTACCTTGGCCATCTTATGAGAAGACATCAAGTGACATACATTAGGCTGTAGCATAGCTGTTTCCTTATAACTCATAGTTTTTGCTCCCCATTAAGGCTACAATTTCCCTTGTCCATATGAATACACTTCATGTCTTCACCTTTCTCGAAAACATCCATGGATTCCAATTTCAGCGTAAAAGCCAAAGACTTAAAATGATCACAAGGCCCTGTCTCCTGGCCCGTTACCTCCCTGAGTTCCTTGTCCGTCTCGTCTCATGGTATTTCCACTTGCTCTTCCCCCAGGTATCTGCACAGCTTCCTCTTGAACCTCCTAGAAGGCCCTACAGTTAAAATTACACCTCACCAACATGTCTGTACCCTCTTCCCTGCTTTAGTTTTCTACTTAGCATAGGGTCTATTTTGCTCATTTATCTGTCTTCTTCAGTACAACAGAAGCAGATTCCATGAGGGCTGAGTTTATGTCTGTTTTGTTGTCCACTGAATCCTGGAACAGAGCTTGGCAGATAGCAGATACTGTCTTAGCATTCAATGATTGAAAGAATAAAAAAACTTCTCTTTGCCCCGATTTTATCTTTTTCCTGTCAGTGAAAGCAGACTCCCTATTCTCCATCCCCTCATAGCTTCCCTCTTTACAGATCTCTAGCGCAAATTCATATATTTAATAACATGACATACCATTATTGAGCACCTCTTCTGTGCCAGGGACAATGCTCAATGATATCTTCCATGCTTTTAAGGTAAATACTACTAGTATTTAAATTTTTCGCATTAAGAAACCAAGGCTACAAAGATAAAGTGAATTTGCCCTAAGTCCCACAGCTTACAAAGGGTGAAGCTAGGACTTGAACTTGGGTTTCCAGCTCTGGCACTAGCATGTGTCACTCTCTGCATGAGCCACGAGCCTGCCCCACACCAGGAGGCTGTCGCACCCTCTCTGGCAGTTACGAGCTCCAGATTTTCCTCACCTTTTTATCTTGGACTCATACTCTATCTTCTGTTTGGTCATTTCCTGTTTCAGGCTGGACACTAAGCTGTGCAGTGCGCTGTGGTTGCTGGTGCTGTTGCCCACAAATGTCTCACTGTTGTCGCTGCTGCTGGTGGCGCGACTACTTCGACCTCCCACGCTCCTACGGTCACTTTTGTTTTCATAGTCCCCAGGGTGGGAAAGATCGTCCTGTGGGGGTCCATCCAAAACAGGGTCCTCAAAGTTCCCCCCATAAAAGTCTTGTTCCGGACAAGTGGTGGTGGAGGAGCGACAGGAGTTGGAGTTCTCAGGGAGAGAGATTTCACAGGAGGAGGTGGACCAGGTGGCGCTGTCAACACTCTGTTTGTCATCGAGGTTCATCATGGAGAACTGTTGATGGACGTTATCATAGGTAGAGAGCCTGTTGTGCTGGCCGGACTCTCCCGCTTGTTCTTTCTGCTTGTTATCTCTCAGGGTCACGTAGCCATTGGGCAGCCAGCTCATGGTGCGACCGTTCACTGGGTTCCCAAGCGTGTCGGTGTTTAAAATACCCATTCGCACTGTTCCGTTTTGTACACTGTGGGTGCCCATTTTGGTACCAGATCCCTTCAGTGAAGAGGTCCTTCTGGCCTGTAAGCTCCCATTGGGAGTGGTTTGGGCTTTCTCAAGACCTTCTGCGTTACTGCTGCTGAAGGACCCATTGGTGACAATCCCGCTGCCCTTATTGAAGGCAGGGTTCTTTTTGACCATAAGAGGGGGGCTCCTAGAGACATCCAGCTTGTGAACACTGTTCCTTGGGCTGTTGCTTTTGCTGCCAGACAGAGCTGTGGGGGATCCATTGTCCATGCTGGTTCTCTGGGGGGACTCGGACTTGTCCCAAGAGCACTGCCTACCAGGACTGTCCTTGGTATTATTGTTCTCTTTGTTCTGTAACTGACCCACGGTGGCTTTCTTCTGAATTTCATTGTTGTTGTTGCTCACTCCGTCTTGAGGCTTGCTTTGCAGTTCTGCATCTTTGGGGAAAAGGTGATCATGTTTGCTAATCATCATTGACATCAATTGCTGGACCACCACAGTGCCTGGAATTGCATAGAAAACAAAGCAGTATGAGTGAAGTAGTTTTGATTTATTTCCCATTTTGAAAGTGACTCTTAAAGAACTACATTCAGGTGAACATTCAGCATTGTTATTAGCAATATTAAACTATATTCTTAATGATGATAATAGCAATAGAAGCTAAAATTTCTTGAGCATTTACTATGTGCCGTGAACTGTACCAAGCATTTTACTTTTGCTAGTTTAGTTGGATTTTAAAATGAATCTATAAATAGGTAATTATTATCATTTTTGTATTGTAAATGCTAAGGTCACAAAGCTATTAAGGAGCAGACTCAGGGCTTGAACCCAGAGTTAGCTAGTTCCAAAGACTAAGCTCTTAATCATTATATAACATTTTTTACAGGTTAGATATTTAATTATGAGAAATCTTACTGACATAGAGGTCACTGTGACCTCGCATCTGACAATTGCCTCAAACTATCAAGACATTTTAGTGGCATCTCTAAGTGGAACCCAGTACACTCTCTAATGGATGTATGGCCTGTCTTTCTAATGCAGCAAGCAAAAGTTCCATGTGACTTTTGTTCACTATTTAAAAGCTTCAGGGCATTTTAAGTGACATCAGCCAGAATAGCGTAATAAGGACCTCCAAAAATATTCTCCTCTGTAAAAATAACTGACAAAAATGTTCTGAATCATTATTTTCAGAAATCTGGAACTTAACTAAAGGCTTGCTGCAATCGGAGAGTGCTTACTCAAGAAAAACGGTTGAATCTCGGTAAGAATAGTGAGCTCTATGGTGTCTTAACTTTTCCTTTTCCCATCTTCCTCTCCCTAGCTTTGCGGTTGCCTTGAAAACCAACATCCCACAGTCACAGTGGTAACCAGCAGTCTGGAGCCCCTGGAATAGGCAGAACAGGGTTACAACTCCTTTGAAGCACCATTCCCAGCGTATTGTCATTGTTTGACCTATTTAGTCGTTGCCGGGAAGACCCCACTAATGAGGCTTGTCTTCATTTTATCTGACTAGGAATTTACCCAGTGTGACCAGCGTTTTTCTCCTAGGCAATTGTCAAATATAACGTGGGGCTCTTTTGTTTAACATCCTGGCTGCCTGAAGCAGTGGATAACAGTTGGGACAAACAATGGGCTAACAAAAAAGCTTAAAAGAAAAATCTGAGGAATGAGATTTCCATAGGAAGCCTTCAAAAGTTCTGATATATTTCTGGGAATCTGGCAGACTACGTGCATGCCCAGGGCTGAGTGCGTGCTCAGGAAAGAAGTCAGAAGTCCCTGGTCTCTCAGCTCAGGCTGACTTTGAAGCTCTGCACAAGCAAGAACTGACAGAGTTGGAAACTGCCTGGCTGAGTGTTGAAGGTGTGCCCTAATATGCACACAGAGCCCTTTGGTAAAGAATGGAAGACTTATTGGTTCTAGCCATTTAAGGACATCTTTGCCCAATCATTAACTGAAAACTAAGAATTTATCATCCTATTCCCAATGCATGTAGCAGTGAACCTGATGAAAAGATTTTGGTATCGTTAAAATGGCTGTCAACACAGTCACCATTATGTACTGTGTTTGAAGGCACGCGTGCTTCGTTCTGTTTTACTATTTGCCCTTATAACAGGCACACTGTCAAATGTTGGCACACTCTATTATGTATGACTCTGCCTAGTACTTCGGGAAAATGGGGCTTTTTCTCATCACTGGAATATTAACACTTGAAGCATCACTGCTTCCCATGATAGCTGTGAACTGTGTGGGGCATTTAATTAATTGAAAAGTGACATCCCCAAGGTCTCCAAGATGAGTCTGTGAACAGCCATGCCAAAGTGTACCTGCCACAATTATGGAGTGAGTGTCAGCATCCTAGAGATTTCGAAATCTCTTCTATCTTGGGAGGCTTTGCTTTTATCTAGTGTCCAGGGTAATAAATGGCAGCCGTTTCTTGTAAAGGGACTTTCTTTCAATTTTTATAGCATTTAGGACAGACTAGCTTGGTAGTAATGATGAAGTGTGTGTCACTACATGCACTTTTTTTCTCTTTTTATTCCCTCCTCTCTGTCATTCTCTTCCTTAGAATGCTAATGAGAAACATGAAGCCCGAATAATGAGGTCGGGGTGGTTGTAATCACCAGCCAATTCTGAAGAGTCCCACTGTGCTACATGACCCAGCAATTCCCCTCCTTCATATAACTTTTATACAGGTTAAATTTAAATACTATATTACAGGCATTTTTCTTTATAGCATTGGATTAGAATTCAATTTTCCTTTAAAGGTACCTAGGCA